TTCTTCTTCTTCTTCTTCTTCTTCTTCTTCTTCTTCTTCTTCTTCTTTTTTTTTTGTAGAGAATCCTTTGTTGTTTGCGTTGGAAGCTGTGCTTATCCCCCTTGGCTCCATGGGATTGATTATTAGCCTTATCTGTGTGTACTGCTGGCTGGAACGGTGAGATTTCAGATATCCCAAGAAAATGAGGTGGGGTGGCTGGGAAGGAATAGTACTGGAGGCTTGTCGCAGGGTCTCCAGGAGTAGAGAGCGGGACAGTAAGGAATGAGGGGTCACTCAAGGGGGCATGGTGACGGAAGGAAGCTGCAGGCCCAGGGAACACAGAATCCCTTCATTCTGTCTGGGAGAGCTGGGAGAAGGGTCATAAAACAGCGTAACCAACATGCTCCTGCTCCCTCTTTCTTCTCTACCAGGACGATTCCCCGAATTCCTACCCTCAAGAACCTAGAGGATCTGGTTACCGAATACCATGGAAATTTTTCGGTGAGAACATTGTCACAGGCAGACTGCAGTTTGCCAGCTACTGGCTGCCTCTGTCCGCAAGTCAGACAGAGCATGGGGGTGGGCAGAGGAGAGGGGAGGGGGCCGGCACTAACTGTCAGGATGTGGCCAGTCAGTGGGGGGAGGGGCTAGATGGAGAGAGATGCACAGAAGAACGGATTATACAGATTGGGTGGGGCAGATGGAAACCGTGGTATGGGCTCCCCCTCCCCGGGAGTCTGTGTGTGCTTTCTCTAATCCCAGGAGTTGCAGACCTTGCAAGAGCTCCCTTGGTCCAGAGCCTGGGTCTTTGAGTCCCTGCCCCTAATTGACCCTTGACCTGGAGATATCTGTCTTTAGGCCTGGAGTGGAGTGTCCAAGGGCCTGACGGAGAGCTTGCAGCCAGACTACAGTGAATGGCTTTGTCACGTCAGTGAGATTCCCCCAAAAGGAGGGGCTCCAGGGGAGGGGCCTGGGGGCTCCCCCTGCAGCCAGCATAGCCCCTACTGGGCTCCCCCATGTTACACCCTGAAACCTGAAACCAGAGCCCTGATACCCTGACTGAACCCCCAGAGTCCTGGAGTCCTAAGTTGTACTAACTTCCCCTCCTCTAACTAGCCTGGGTCCAATGCTCACCTCGCCCCCCTGTGGCTGATTCTGAATTTTATGCCCCCTATAACTTCCCTCTGCCTCCACCCCCCCCCCCAATTCAACATCTCCTATGGTCCAATTGCCCCTTTTGCCCTGTACATGCGTCTGGTCTTCCCTGCTCCAGCCCCTCCTCCTCCTCCTTGCAGGATTCTTTCTCCCACAGGCCCTCCGTCCTTCCCTCCCTCTTTCCATCTAACCTTCAATTATGCTCCAAGCAATGAGAAATAAAGCTTCTGTTGATAATCGTCAAGAATGTCTGTTGTTGGGGCAGGGAGCAAGGGAAATGTGGGGTGCAAGGAGGGTGTGAGGCATGGGGCTGACAGTAGGAAAAAAGAGTAGTAGATGAAATGATGTGGAAGCAATAGTACCACAAATTAACTAGAGAAGAGTGGCGTTCGAGAAATGTGACTCTTCTCTAGGTGTCCTGCAGTTCTATTAGCATACATTTCATTTCGTTTCATCTTATTTATTTATTTGTTTGTTTGTTTGTTTGTTCTTAAAAGATTTTGTGTATTTATTTGACAGAGAGATAGAGCCAGAGGGCACAAGCAGGGGGAATGGCAGAGGGAGAGGGAGAAGAAGCAGGCTCCCCACCGAGCAGGGAGCCTGATACGGGGCTTGATCCCAGGCCCCCAGGATCATGACTTGAGCCAAAGGCAGACCGCCTTCCCCAACTGACTGAGCCACCCATGCACCCCTTATTTTATTTTTTAAACAATTTTATTTACTTATTGGGGGTGGGGAGGAGCAGAGGGAGAGGACAAGCTGACTCCGCACTGAGCGTGGAGGAGCGCAACGTGCAGGGCTTGATCCCAGGACCCTGAGCTCTCCATCTGAGCCAAAACCTAGAGTCAGATGCTTACCCCACTGATGGCGCCCCGCAGGATGCATTTTCAAATGAGATTTACCTTGTTGCCCCCAACCCCAGCAAATCTGTCACAGACCCCACCCAGTTTCTTCTCTCCCTATCCTTACTCCACCTTCTGCCACATATACCACCTCTGACCTCATAATCCCTCAACTGCAGCCTCAGGCCCCACCCCTAGGGATGCTGGTTATCCACAACTGCCAATAGCTCTCTCCTGCCTGCCCAGTCTGGGGCCCCTTCAGCCTATGTGATCCACCGACCTCTCCAGACCCCCAGCCCTATGGGCCCACTTGCCCCCACTCCCAGGACCTCTAGAACACTCTTGTTCCAAATGACTCATCAGGCCTCTGTCTGAAGAGTAAGAAGATCCTGAGAGCATGTTTATTTTCATCAAACATGGAGGTGAGGGGTATTACAGAGCTGGAGTCTGTATGTGGGGCTTGTGGGGGGGGTTGAGGGCAGTGGGGGATGGTCACAGGGATGGTATAACTAGAGAAGGGCTGTGTGCCCCATCCCATGTCTTCTCAGATAATCAGCAGTTTCTGGTCAATACCAATTGCTCTGTCCTTCTGTTGCTGCATTACACCCGCAGTAAAGTAGGGTTGCCTAGAACAGGTGAGGAGTTGGGGGGAGGGGACTAAAGGCCAAGAGTTAGAAAGTCCGCAGGGTCTTTTCCAGACCCCAAGCCCTCCTACTGGCAAGAAAAGAGCTCTTGGAATCCAACAGCTTCTTCCAACCCATTCAGGATAGGATCAGTGCCCTTTCTGCTCCCACTCTCCTTCCTCAAGGGTCTCATTTACCCTGTGGTCTCCCTCCAGACACCATTGATTTGTGTGATGAAACGGGGACAATGAAGTTGCTCTTCCTGATGAAGACCCCTGGAGACTATGCCAGCAAATTCCTTACTGCTCGCAACACCTACTACATTTGTAAGGTGGAGCGTGGAGCACCAGGTAGAGGTTTGGGAGCATTCCTGAAAGACAGGGTGGGGCCCTCAAAATGAATTGTGAACCTTGTCCAAAATGGGTTGTGAACCTTGACCCTCACCCAGGTCCAAACTGACCATCTCCAGTCAGCCCAAGAAGAGCATTGCCTCTATGACAATAGGGTAGGTTGACGCATATTAGCCCCTCCCCAGCACCTGATCTTAGGCTTGGACCTGAGGGGGGGAAATTGGGTACATCAGGTCACAGTAACTTCGAGTGTTAGGTTCCGGAAATCTCCGTCTTTGGAAGGGTGGAGATGGGGTGACAGGGGCTGTGAATAGCACACTGCTGTGTTCATAGGAACCCGACTGGAGAACGCCTACAGAGCTTTTGTGCCTCTCCTGAAGAATCCAGAACCTGAGCTAATTGGTAAGGAGCAGGATGGAGGAAGTATACAGTACATAGCAGGGTGACAGAGTACATTCTCTTTGTGGAGTGGGAGTGGCGTAATAAAGCAGGATCCTAGGAAAAGGAGAGGGGAACAAGGCCTAGGTCCACTTAAGGATGGATGTTTCACTCAAACCGGCCAGAGTGGTGTGTGTCACTCACCCTTACTCTTCTCCCCGTTTCTTGGGCACTATCTTGATATATTCTCCCTATCCCCACCCCGTTGTTTCCATCTTCACCTTCATCCTTTTCTCTTGGAGTCTTGGTGTTCCAGTTCCCACTGAAAAGAGCAAAACTTAGGCATCTTCAGACCACTCTTCCGCCTAGCCTTGGGCCCAGTTACTCCAAGTGATGGCTGGAATGATGGGAGGGATGGAATGGGTAGTTAAGGCCTCTAGTCCTCAGAGGTGGGGGCGCCTTTTTCTCTTTCTCAGATGCCTTGCGCACACAATGCGACATCCTGGAGAGGAGCCGAGTGAAATTGCTTAGAAGCCAAGAAGCCAAGAAAGTTGTTCCTATTGAATCCTCCATGAACCTCCCAGTAAGACTCTCCAAATGTGGTCTGTCCTTGCACCCCCCCTTTCCCTACCAGCCAACCCAAGGCTCCCACACCCATTCCCCCCTCCATGAATTTCCTTTCCAAATCCAATGTCCACGCCCAAGACCTGCCTCCAACCTCTCTCCGCCTGGCCTGCCACTGGCCCTAGCTTCCCTGAGGGTCCTCTTTATCTACTTATGGACCCTTTCCTTTTCTAGTCCAAATCAACCGGAAGATCAGATGAAGAGGGGCCCACTCGCAGGGGTCCAACCTTTAGGACCAGAGCAGACTTCTTCAGTAGAAGGGATAAACATCGCTAACTAAATAAAGTGACCAAGTGAGAGCAGTAATACGAGGTATGAAATTACTGGAATTCAACCTGAGGTCCCTTCTTCAAGAAAAACTCCTTCCCCCCATATCAGCACCAAGGTTTAAGTGTGGCCCTGGCACCATGAAAGCTCCGAGGGTGGGTGGAAGTGGCAGGAGAGGGCTGGGGTGAGCACATGGGTGGGGGTGAGGCAAGACTGTGAAGTATGGTACAATGAGCCTTTGAGGGACAGAGTAGGGGGAGGGGTCTTCTCCAACCAGACTACCTCCCCTTGAGAGGCCTATCACAGCCCGCCTACTACTGCTGGGGTTCAGTGACACCCACTACTGCTGGGGTTCAGTGACGGTTGGGCATCTTCCCTCTCCCCACCCCAATCCACCAACTCCCCCTGCTGAAATCTCCCCACCCCACACCTCTCAGCCTCTGAGTAG